AATATTTTGTACAAAAATTCATCTATAAAAAATAAAATATCGTTGTAATGATTTGTAATATAAATCTAAGTAATTGCGTGATTAATTTTTAAAATGAAGTATAAAAAAAACAAATTGTCTGAAAGGCAAATAAATTAAAAAAAAAAATTTGATTATATTGCAATATCAACAATATGTCTATTACACAATGTAAGTAATGTACCAACAATTACAAACAATAAAAATGAATGAATCAATCAATCTATTTAAATATAAGAAATCAGCCTGTAAATTTATGTTCAAAATCCCATTGGTGGAAACAAAAAACAAGAAGCCTCCAATCAATTGTATTCAAAGTATTTAAATATGTGACAAAATGATTCAAACATTTTATCTGTAAATATTTGTGCATCATTGGTAAGGAAAAAATTAAACCTATAAATATGTGGCTGCCATTGTTTCTTCTTTTTCTTCAAGATTTGATAACATCAACCAAGTTATTTATCTTTTTCATTCGACGAGAGATTTTGTTGTGCTGCTGCTATTCTTGCATTTTGCGATTGTTTAAATCTTAAAAACTTAAGCCAAGCTTCTTCGGATACAAAATCAGAGCTGGTCATATATTCCACTTTGTTTTCATGGGTGAATTTTACTCTTTTTATTGACCCTTTACTTTGCTTCATCAGTTTCCTACTAAAATATCATCATATTGGGTATGATATCCTATTGATACGCTTAAATTTCACATGTAAAATAAATATTGTTACCTTTTCTTTGTATTGCAAACATTATTAACGATACTGCACAAATTAATATCTTCTGTATTTATTGTTGTGTCATCAAAATTTGGAGAAACTAGAGCAGATTCTCTTTCACGATGTTCATTGCTTGAGTTATTACACATAGATTCATGAACAATATTAACTTTTGGTACAGTTTCTTTTTTAATTGTTGTTGATTTATCAACTGTTGATGCTGAACCAGCCTCTTCAATACTGATGTTATTTAGGGATACTTTCAATGGGAGTGCATTGGATATCAATCTTTTTCTGCATTTTTCTCCATCCAATTCAAAGAAACTGTCATTGCTAAAATAATCACTGCAAATATATGCTGTTTTCACTTCAAAATACAAAGGTAGTTGAAGTATATTCAACCATTTACGTCTTATATCTACATCCTTCGGTAGCCTACAACATTTACATATTTTTTTAAATGTAGGAAAAAATAACATATAATTATTTGAGGTTACGTATTTGTACTTTCTTACGAGTGAAAACTGCGGTTACATCCAGGATTAGACTCTGTCTTGCATTTCAAACAATGCCTCATTTTTAAACAAATCGCGTCTAATTATTATTTTGTTAACGTTCGAATATTTAACGAATTTTAATTCTACACATGTGCACGCATATTTACAAAACGAAATTTTAGTCTGCTTTCTCCCCTCCTGACGTCGCGTGGTCGTCTTGGTAGCTCATTGTAACAACTAATCACAGCGCTCAACTAGAAAGAGACAGATAGGACACTCGGCATCCATCTCTCTCTTGACCTCTATCACTTCCACTTACAGGTAGCATATATCCCTTGTTCCCTCTATTCTTATATCTCTATGCGTTAACATCTCAAGCATTATTACCGCCAAATTCTAGGATCTGACGACGTGTACTGCATTGTCTTCTGTCGTTTCTTTCAATATTATAATACGCCTAATACACTTTCGCTAATTATGACACTAGAATTTATATGCGTTGCAGCATTCCCATTATTTGCGTGCGTGACGACAAAGTTTATGGCTTCTTTCTTTGCGACCGCTAAGATATTGGCGTTATTCGAAAAGCATTAATTAGTTCATATCCTATTCTACGGGAAATAATGTTTTGTAATAATGATACGACTAATATATCTTCATTAATAAAAGCATGGAAACGCGTGTACTTTCCAACATCCCGATTATTCGCGTGCGCGACAATAGGGTTTATGGCTTTTTTCTCTGCAATCGTTGAAAATATTGGCGTTGTTCCAAAAGCATTGAAATCTTCAGTGTCCCTTGAGTTGAAATTAGTGATTTATGATGATACGATTAATATACTTACGTTAACGAAGGCATTGAATCATGTGAACCTGGTGTCGATTATTCTTTTCCGTTCTATCTATTTTTACAGCGTAAAGTAGGGGTATCTCGGGAAGTACGGATTCCTTTTTTTATATATATAATTGGGAGGCAGACGGACGTCGGGCAAGCGTTATCGTGAAAGGGATAAGATTACGATGACGCGCCGTGGGTTTCCCAACGTATCTGTCATCTCATCCGCCGTTACGTAAGGCGCATAGTTTCGTTGCATCCCGGGTACCGCGGGAGCAACAAATTCCTTTTTATAATCAGGAAATAGGCGGATTTGGGTAAGCGCTATCATAAAGAGAATGTAATTATACGATACNACCAGTAATCAGAAGGAGCAATGTCCAGCGAATACGGTGGGTGTGGTAAAATATCCCACTTGAGCGTTTTCAAATAATTTTTTACGACTTTTGCGACATGAGGCCGAGCGTTATCATGCAGAAGAATAACTTTGTCATGTCTTTGCTCGTATTCCGGCCGTTTTTCTCGTAATGCACGGCTCAAACAAATCAATTGTAGCCTATACCGATGGCCTGTAATGGAATCGCCAGGTTATAGCAGCTCATAGTATACAATATCTTTTTGGTTCCACCAGATACACAGCATGACCTTCGAACCACGAATATTCGGCTTTGGTGTTAATGTTGAGGTCGATGGCAACGATTGACTTGGGCATAGCGTAGTATTTTTTCTTCTTGGGGTTATCGTAGAATATCCATTTCTCATCCCCAATCACAATCCGATGTAAAAAACCCTTTCTTTGTTGCCTTGGAATCAGCTGCTCGCAAGTAAAAAATCGATTTTCAACGTCTCTCTGTTTCAGTTCATAAGGCACTCAATTGCCTTGCTTGTGAATCATTCCTATGCTGCTTAGTTAACACAAAATTTGACATATTCAACACAGTAAAAAACAGGGGTTTTGTATGAAACTCAAAGCGATATAAACTGAATATTATTGACAGATGTCTAACCTCTCTGAAACCACTGAAATCAGCTGTCACTATGAAACATTCATAACAGCCAGAGCCATCTTTTGAGAATGGACCGAACTAATTTGTACTCCCAATATTTTATATAAAATTTACTTTATCTTACATTTTTCTTGTATGCTTTCTTTCTCTTCATCGTCAATTTCATTGTCTTGTATATGTGATCCGGCTACAGTGAGAGGTTCCAAGGTTTGTCTGCAAACAACTTTTTCATAACCTGTGACAAAATATATTAAATTTTATCATCAAATTTAAATGTATATTAAATCATATGTATATCTTTATATCAAGTTAGTATAAGTTAGTATACAACACCTTCAGGTATTCCTACTCTTTTTGATTGCTTCCACTTTTTTATTGTATGACCTATCTTAGATTTATAAGTTTGTTTTAAAGCTTGGGACTTGGTTGCACATTTTACACCTGATACCTTATATCCATTTTTTTTTGCATAATTTGTACTACTTTATTCTAATATTGTTTAACTATACCTTTCCTATTAAATTTTTTTTTATACCGAGAATATATTTCTAATAATAACAGAGTTTCTGCCTTATTCCATACATGCATATCTTGAATAATTAAATAATTAAATAAAGAATATCAGAATATAATATTTTGAAAATTCAATAATTCATTTAAGTTTGTACATCAATACTCAGTTATCTTCTGTACATTCAACACTACTTTCAGAAGTAGTGGTATTTTTTGAAATAGATGAAACCATGTATTATTAACTGAAAATCTATTTTACTATATCTATATATGTATTATAATATTACCAGAATTGTTACCTATTGCGATATGATATGTTATGACGATTCAATGTTGCATTGCAATCTGTTGCATCATTTTATTGCATTATGCTTTTTATTGTTCTTGCTTTGCTTCTTTCAATAATATCATAACAAAATTCATGTCTATAAATATGAAACAAAAGCAATATTTCATGAAAATGTAATTATTATCAGTGTAACGATGCATCTCCCCGGAGAACATCGCGGCTGACCGACCAACTGTCGGATCGTCGGCATGTCGAAAACACGGCGGAAGCGGTATAAACCACCCCGCGGGCGTTACCGCCGAATTATCACGATTAGCACCCGTACAGTGCAGCTATTCTGCACCCGTCTTTCCACCGCACCAGTTGAAATTGTCCGCCGAGCCCACTGTTCCGCAAGAAGCACGATACCGAGTGCCCTCCACTCCGGGGCTCGACCGGTGCGAGCACAGCTCCGTACTCATCTCTAGCGGCGAAACATGTTACCGGCACCGAATGCGCCCAACCGCGGAGTACCTATCGCGAGATCATAACGCGTCCAGCAAGTGCATTCCGCTACATGCACTCTGGTCATTTACCACAGTATCTTAACTATAGAACCAACGACGCGATTTTCGTATTTATCAACATAGCTACGTCAAACGCACCCGGAAACCCGCGAGCAAAACACCGCACCCGCTCCCCATCGTCGCGCTAAGCGCAGACACCGCCTCGCACCGATTGCCATAGGTATATCTTCGCATACACACGGCGCCTGTTGTTCCGCGAAATTAATACACCGGAGTTCCGGCTAGACCGTAAAGAGGAATACCGCAAAACACGAGATGGCTCGTGTACACAAATACCACGACAATATTTACATCTGTCACTCCCTTCGGATGCTTGAAATTAAAGCTCCGCATAAACGCACTCGATCCAACATCTGTACTGAGCAACTCAGACATATAGCCGAATAAAAGGAAAATTAATGCACTTCGCTCGTTCACTCACTCACTCATACACGCACTCACACACACACACACACTCCTAGCTCATTAACCACTAAGAACGCCTGGCAATCCGGCGAGCAATCCCGAGACCAGTAACATTGCCGACTTGAAAGTTCTCCGCCGGATACCCTCTTGACCCCGCAGGGTCAGAGGATCCTGCAGCAAACAACGAGAGCACGGTCAACCATACCGAATGACCGCCCTACCCCGACCAGGTACTGTCCGATATCACTAAAAGGGAGGGCGGTCACATCAGATAATCAAATTTTGTTACAATGACTGCATTTAGCACAGAAAACAGCTTAGTTTTGAACTGTACTAGTTCATAATTGAACAACACTTATTAGTTCATACTTTTTCGATGTATTTATAATGAAATTCGGCATATTAAATGTAAAAGAATAATGTTAAAAAATGGGGTAATTATTTAGTTTAGCTACGCCAGCACAAATATGAATTAAATAACACTTATTCAACGCGTTTTTGCACGAAACGAAAGAATCTGGAAGAAAAAAAGTGTCGCTCTGCCCCGCAAAGTAAGTTATTAATTGTCAAAGTTGACGACTTGACAGATTAGGAAACCTGTCATACAGACAAAATGTTACGATATGAGCATGCTTCGTGGTATTAAATCATGGTATTAAATAAATATAAGTATTAAATCTTCGCCTTACTAAAGTGCGTGCGATAAATCCGTTTTATACTAAAATGAAAACAGTGAAAATTAGCCACAGTGAAAAAAGGTCTCTACGCAAGGCATGTTATTAACTAATAATTTTTTTATATAAAATATTTTTATCTGAATTTATAATTAGTCAATTATTTTTTATATTAGTTTCTATTTAGCAGGCATACCTTGCGTAGGAGTCTATGCTAATCTTCACTGTTTTAATTTTAGTATGAGATAGACTCATCACACATATATTAGTAAGGTGAAATACTGTTTTCATGTTAGTATAAAACAGAGTCATCGCACACTTTAGTAAAGTGAAGATTTAATACTTATATTTATTTAATACCACGAAGCATGCTCATATTACAACATTTCATCGGTATGACAGGTTTCCTAACCTGTCAAGTCGTCAACTTTGACGATTAATAACTCACTTCGCGGGACAGAGCGACATTTTATTCTGCCAGATTCTTTTGTTTCGTGCAAAAACGAGTCGAATAAGTGTAATTTTATCTGTATTTGTGCTGGCGTAGCTAAACTAAATAATTAC